TTTCTTTTTTTTTTTTTTTCGTACAATCATCGAACGGAGCAGCAGATATCTCCGTGAAAAAATAATAACGGTATCAAAGATACTTTTACTACAATTAAAAACACGTTATATAGATATATTGATTTAATTGATAATTCTTAGCATATTAAAATGAGATACTTAATTTTCTTTTTTTTTATTTTTATATTGATTTAATTTTTGATCATAATGTGTTTATTGTTTGATTATTTTTGTTAAAATTTAATTAGAGGAATTAAAAGTCATCGATTTTATTCATTGGATGTTACAATATTTTTGACATTCATATAATAGATATTAGTAAGTAAATATAAGATAGAAAAATGTATAAATAAAAGTGCTAATAATGGTTTGAAAATTTTTGCATTAATATTTGCGAAGAATTGATCATCATTTATTTTTTTACGTTTTGTATAAATATTTTAAAAATGAAAAATATTAATAGGATATATAAAATAAAGTTTTTCTTGTATTTATGAGATATGAGATATTTATGAATTTCTAATAATAAATTATTAATTTAGTCATCTACTTCTGATTTTTCATAATATAGAAATTTATTTTTATGTTTGATGAATGTAATAAATTTTTTACTTTATTAGTCTCTCGTAGCACTTTCTATAAATTATATACATTGTTTCACAGAATAATATTTTCTTCATATTTTAATTTAATCATATTTTAGAAAAAATTATTGCAATGATTTATATAGATAAATAAAAGTTATCCTTTATATCAAAAGAATACGTAATATAATAATATAATAATAAAATATTAATTTAATTAATTATAAATAACACGGTAATTTAATTTCTTCTTAAAGAATATTTCTTTTTTAAAGAAATTTTTTAAAGAAATTAAAAAGAATTTAATTGTTAAAAAACGATAACTGGATCGTTTATTCTATCTGTTTGCACAACCTTTGATAAAAAATATTACGATAATATAAGTTATAATCTAATTTCAATTATTGAAAAATTTGAAACAAAAGAAAAAAAACCAATGTACAAAAATTTAATTGTATCTATTCAAAAAACATCTATTCTCGTATATAATTTTTAATTTTTCTTTTACAAAAAGTATTGCATCTATAAAAATTTTCTTTTCTGTAATCGTCCATGCATATTGGAACTAATAACGTGACACGTGACAAAAAAAATGACTAAAGATTATATTTCTAATAGTTATGACATTAAAAAAATACATATCTTCGAATATCACTTGGTATGCTAAAGGTTAATCTCGAGTCATTGCCGCATCATCAATTATGTACCGAGATCAATTGCCATTTTACGCTCACGATCTCGACCCCAATCCCCCGATTGTTTCATGAAAAAAGATTTCATTGCGATTTATATATCTGATTTCAAGCGCAGTTAGTGGTTTGTTCCTTTTAAGGATTCGCTTACTGAATCACGACTTCATTTTAAGGCCGTTTACTTTCCCAACTTCGAGATAAGCTGTAGAATATCTATGACCTTGGCGAACGCGCACCTGAAATTAGGTGAAAGCGAGTATGGAAAGTAGAATTTATCAAAATCGTGTACGAGTACTTATTTTATTTAAAAATGAATTTCCTTGTATAAAATAACGTTACGATTGTTGATATATTATGTAAAAAAAGAAATATAAGGTAAAAGAAAGAAAAAAGTACAAAGAAGGAATTAAAATCGGGAAAAAGAGAAAATGTCAGAAACAAACAGAAGAGGTAATAATATAGCTGAAGACTAAGAATTAATTATTTTCAGAGCGGATTGCTTGGAAATGTTATATAGGATAATAAGAGGGAAGAAAAAATCGATTTAGTTAGCGTAATTTGTTAGCGTAATTGCATATTCCGGTAATGGGGTCGCAGAATCTCGGATCTCTCTCTTTAGGAGGTCACGAAAAATCGTTGCGTAATAATACGAATATGCATATGTGTACGAGCCTGAACATGCATACTTAACTTTAACGAGTCAGGATAAAGGTAAATCGAGAGTTATCGATAAGGTTATTTTATTCTTCGATCAAATCCCTTCAATCAATCTCGTTGTCGAAGGATCGAATAAACGAAACGTGCGTGCGCCACGTTTCAACTCGACAACGTGTGCTGCACTCGAAAAGGTTAAAGTTCGATCTTGCGGTTAGCCTTTACCGACAACCCATTATCCAAGAACGTCACGTCGATAAGGTCGCAACGACGTTGTACTTGCATTTAATCGCGAACGAGATTTCCTTTATCCCGGGGAAAATACGCGCCTTGTACAATTGGGATTACCATCACGCATTCTTGGTACCGTAATTATGTCAGTTACACAGAGCACGTTATAGTTTAGCGGAGGAAAGTGCACGAGCTCGGTGACGCGAAATTGCGACGTAGAAAGAGTAATCCGTTTTAAAGCGAAACTCCAAGCGTTTCTCTTTTAGTGAAAATATGGAATTATCAAGGAATGAAATAAAATTCATAACGATAACGATTATCGATCCGTTCTGTCTACGTTACGCCGCAGAAACGCCGAAGAAACGAATCTTTGTAGCAATAGAGAGCATCTTTTTTTTTTTTTTTTTTTTTGTAACAACTTTAACTGAAATTAAAAACAAAAACTGCTTTGACTCGACGTTAAAGAAACATTAATCTCGGAGAAAAATATGCAAAATGGCCGAGAAAAAAATATTATTGCTGATAAATTAGAATTCGATTATTTCATCGAGAAAAATCTATCGATAATGAACAAACATTGTATCATTGTATAGAAATAGTCACAAAAGAAAACCCGCTTTGCGCTGAAATTCTTTTAAAAGTTAAACATTTACAAGCGTTGCTCGATTGATTTTGTTCGCAGGTACTCTTTCGACCATCGAACGTTTCTTTGCCAATACATTATAATATTATCCTGGTTTTCACGGATCGATCGGAATAGCAGCTTGGATCGAGCTCTCGGTGCGATAATCGGCGGGGAATATGCAGCCGGTTTCTTCGTTCCTTCGTAGAGTATAAAAATATTTTTACGTTCGACGTCATGCATATTTTTAACGGCGCGTCAGTCACACGGTCGGCTTTCGGGTGCTTGACGTTAAACGCGACCCGCTGGATTACCCACGTAAGGAGTATTGGATTCCGCTGTGTTCGGCGCGGGTGATAATGCCGGGAACGAATCTCAGATTTCGCTTCGGCTCGCGTAACGTTTCACGGCGAACGCGCCAAGTGGAAACGAAACCGGAATAATGCTCGGCTAGATCGAACACGGCCAAGCTTTTAATCCCGTTTCGAGTTAATCTTGTTTCTCCTTCTAAATACTCGAACGGTATTCGGAACGGCACGAGGAAATACCTAAAAGTAACTTAAAAGTGAACGAATGAAACGTGTGAATAGGGCCCAATTAGGAAATATTTGTAATATTAAAATTTTTGAATATTTATGGAATGAAATGTTAAGAATATTTTTTCGTTTCGTTTTTGTGTGTATTAATTTTTCTATTAGTTAAAACATTTCGTTTCGCGAGTGAAGTAAAAGAGAAGTTTATTTTTAAGGTAGTTAACGCAGTTTTTGGATACTGGTTTCCCGTACACTATTCATTTATCACAAACTAAGATTATGTTTTATCGAAAAACTTTTCGCGAGAGACGCAGTAATTGACCACTGTACAATACAATAATAGATGCAAATTTAAAATTGATTTTGGTTAAAAAATTATTTAAAAAATATTGGATTAATTTTTAAATTAAATGTTTTCTATAATGATCTAAATATATTTTTATAATATAATATTTTTCACTTAATAGAAAACAAAAGTTAACTTAATTTACGAAGCTTCGTTTCTTAAGGTTTTTAATTAAGATTTGATCAGAAAAATTACAATTATAAATTTCCGAAATTAAAAAAGTAAATGTTTTAAATAGAAAAAATAAATTAATAATCAAAATTTATTTAAAAAATGATTATCTTCGAATTGATAGGGTTACAATTTATCATCGAAAAAATAAGCAAGGGGCATAGTAATCGATACAAATATCCTACACGTCATACCATACCGTTATTATATCGAGTTAACACTATTGAATATTTCTTTACTCTTTGCATAAAATTGTTAATTGGATTGTTTTCTTCGATTTTTTTCCTCGTATTTTTAAATGTATTTGATTTTTATGATGATTTTTATGATAAAAAAAAAGAGCAAAAAATATATACGAAATTTTGTTTTCTTTTAAAAAAAAATCGTTAAAATTTGTTTAATGTATCGAAAAATTTTTAATACAAATAAATAATTTTAAAAGTTCACAATACGACTTGTATTCTCGGTTCCAATACGATGATATCAGACATCGCGAAAATCCTTGAACGTATTGAAATTGTAAGGAAAAAAATCCTCAAAAAAGAAACCAATTAACTCGCTGTAATGTTACATGAACTGATTTACAATACAACTTGTCAACTTGTTATACGTAGCATGACATGTAATTACGTTCTATTCGCAATGAAAGCACAACGTTTAATACAAAAATCACTCTTATTCTCAATATTCATCTTTACTTTATTATAAAACTCAAAATAGTTTTTTGCATAAAAAAAAAAGAGAAAAGAATAGATAATATATTTTACTTTTAAAGAAAAATCAACAAAAGGAATATTTTTTAATAATATCTTATTTTCTTGACATCTTTTTCAAAATATTCATTTGTTTTTGTAAATACTTCTTGCCTCTGTAAAAAACATAATAAAAAATAATAAAGAAATTTTTTTAACGTTAAATGAGAATTATTGTTACGTAATACTCGAGTAAAACGTTCAATTTTTGTAAAAATCCTAATAATTAACATCGTAGTTGTGAAGATCGAACAAACGTTTGATCTTTATATTAATATATCGCCAAGTGATTCAGATAATTTCATATCTTTTAAAAAAAAGAAATATTATGAAATTTTAAATAAAAACAATAAATAAATAATAAAACGAGATTTTAAAGATTTTTTTTCGATTATAATTACAAAAAAGATACAAGTACGAAGCTATATGCAAAACTTTATTTACAACTTTATATATAGTTTTACGTGAAAATAGTACATTGAATTTTTGATAAAAATTTGGAAAATAAATATCACGTCATAATTTACGACATACATAAGCAATGTAATCTTGAGGTGGGTCGTAATGTAAGTTGTTGCATATAAAAGATCACGTTGTAAAGGCAAGAAAAATATTGACAAAAGATTTAGAATGATTTGAAATAGTTAGCATTTCGTAGTTTTCAAAAGATATGATGATTTTAATTTATTGTATAAAAGACATAGAAAATTGAATTTCGTGCTGCCAATTATTCAAAATCAAAATTAATACATATTTTTCCTAGGAAACTTAATAATTAACAGCGCAGTTATGAAGATCGAACAAACGTACATTAATATATCGCCATTCAAGTGATTCAGAATAATAGTGATGTAACTGCTATTGTTGATTTTTCGAGAAAGCCATGTTTTTCCAAGATGTTTTTCTTGAATCAATTAAATACGAATAATATAATATTACTTTATACGAAGAATATAATTATTTCACTTTGATAAACAAAATATAATCTCATTATAATAAATTAATAAATTTTAATAAAAATGAATATTAATAGATAATATTGGACATTATATTATTTATTCTGAATGAAATTCAATTATATATCACTAAAAATTTTACTTTAAATAAAAACATGTTACTTAATTTCTCTTTATGATAATTAACAATCAATAACGACTAATCAGAGAAGAGTTTTTATTTATCGAAAGATGCTAAAAGTTCAAACTTGAATATTTTGAATGGATTTGACTCGACAATGACCAATAATTCTCGTTACTTACTTTCCCATTCGATATGGAGAAGATTAATAAATTGAGTTGAAAGAATTTTATTTTTTAATGACTACAACTCGAGAGATATCTATAACTGAAAAGGTATATCGGCGAAAGTTCGGCAAGTTTGGCGCGGGACAAAGAGGAAGAGAGGGAGAGATCGCGTCGCGTTGGCACGTGAATC